GGAGTGGAGTAGCCGGGTTCCGGCGGAGAGGGTGGGGGTGTATTCTGTCAGGAATTTTATCCAGGGTGATCAATGGACTCTGTAGATATGATGCATATTTATTATGAAGCACTAAGTTGCATTTTATCTACCCTCTAATTTATGCATCCATCTTTATAATTGTGGAGTGGAGTAGCCGGGTTCCGGCGGAGAGGGTGGGGGTGTATTCTGTCAGGAATTTTATCCAGGGTGATCAATGGACTCTGTAGATATGATGCATATTTATTATGAAGCACTAAGTTGCATTTTATCTACCCTCTAATTTATGCATCCATCTTTATAATTGTTCATATTGATAATTACGAGAACTAAAAGATAGAACTCAATACGAGTCCTGAAAAAACAAAACGTACACAATAACACTGATGATGGAAAATACAATGATCACAACGTCAATCGTCAACGCGGTCATTGCCTGATCACTGAGCTTCATATTCTTCCCACCAAGACGATCCACGGTATCAGGAATCGACTCCCAGTTCCTCAGATCTTGTTCGTATGGATCCTCGATCCTCATCCTCATTCGTTGAGCTCGCATGCTCTCGGCCTCTTGGGCAAGCGTCCAGTCATAGAACTGGCGGCTGTTTTCGTTGCTGAGAACGTTGTAGGCTTCTCTCAGCTGCATGAATTTCTCTGAGGCTGTTTTGAGAGGGAGCGAGGTTGTATCTGGATGGTACTCTTTAGAGAGTTTCCGGTATGCTGCTTTGATTTCTTCGACATCTGCATCCGCGGAGACTCCAAGAAACCTGATAGAATACAATGAATGAGTTCGTCATTAGAAATTTGTTATGCTCAGCAAAACTAAGATTAGATTTTAGAAAAACCCCTTCAGATTTGCCTGATGTACAAGAAATATCCAATTTTGAAAATGGACTGTCTGATTTGATTTTATTTTTTCCCCCTCAGTTTGCTTTCTACTAATGTATTAAAAAAAAATTATAATAACTCGCTCCTGAATCGAACCCAAGACCATGAGAGCCACATTAAAACCTCCTAACCGTCTGAATTAACCGCAATGGGTATTAATATGTTAACTTGAATGTTAACTTCTGTATAAACATGTATAGGATTATTATATTGAAAAGGGTTACTTGCAGATACGCCAGTAGATTTATTAGCCCCAACGAGGTTACTTTTTGCCCTCAATTTAGAGGCAGCATAACAATTTTTAGTTAAGAGCAACAAAGATAACACAACATCTCAACCAAACAGGATAAATACTAATGTCCGGAGTGCAAAGGGATAGTTGTAATAAAATACTTGACTTATTAGTAGAAAGCAAACTGTCAGTTTTGAAACCTCAGAAGATTTCTCTGTAATTAAACCCCAAAAAAATAAAAATAAAAATAAAAAGACTTAACTGGTAATGAGAAG